TTACTTGGTCACAGAAAGCAGCTGAGGAGAGGAAACGGGCACACTCTGTAGGAGACACTTTACAGTCCCCTAAAAGGGGCTGTGTAGGACGTGGCAAGCCGAGAGGGAGGCGTGGAGGGCGACACCAAGGCTCAGCTACAGGTTGAAATCCCAATTATTTTACATTTTTATGAATTTACTAAGTAAATGGTTGGAAAATTGAATGAAAACACAGTAATTGCTTGTTGAGGGTCTACAATAATTCAAATATATAAACGCATAGTGACACTACAGTCGGAGACATTCCCACTGTGGTGTCATAAGAACTATGCTTTATTTAATTTCACAAGCTTTTAAACAATAGGTAGATAATACAAATCATCAGTTATCTGTTGTTAACCCTCTGTGTGATGTTTTACAGTCACATCCCCCCCGACTGAGGGCTTCCAGTCTTCCAGTGTGGAGGTTCTGCGTACTGAACCTTCAGCACAACACGAATTTGGTAAATCACAAAAATGGCTTTAAGTTTAAAACTAAAATAAATTGTGTTAGTGAGAGAAAATAACCTTATACACAACTGACAGTTCAGGACTTGAACGAAGAATGTAATTCAGTAAAGATATTGGCCAGTTCCATACTGAGCAAAGAAATGATCCTTGATTTTTAGTGTTCATCTTAAATATAGTCATTTACAGTTAAAGTTTCCCATTCTGTTCACAGAAAAGAATATGGAGAGACTCTCTGACATTCTTTCCTCATGTCCTTCTCCTGAGCCTCAAAAAAGCTCTGCCTCATCCTGGCCTTTTCGGCAGCAGAAAGCCTCAGAGCGCTGGAAAGAAGCAAGACCACACCACCTACAATGCCTTCTAGAAAAAGAGGCTGTTGGTCATCCCCTGTGTGGCCTCTGCCACGAGCCGGCTGTTATTAGGTGAGATAACATTTACCTTTATTTAAATTACTTTACCTAATTGTAATTTTTCAGTATTAATGCTCAGTGCCCTGCTATTTCAGCTAACATGCATGACTTTTGGGACGTTAGAAAACTGGATACCTAGAGAAAACCCACATGAAAATGAAAGTAATTCTAGGATATTAGAATAATTTTGTATTTCCTCCCAAGGTGTAGAGAGTGTCTCCCCGAGGAGTGGTTCTGTGGAGACTGTGATGTACTTCATCACAAGAAACAGCCACTCCACAACAGGGACAGTTTAATAAATAGATTTTTTAAACCAATTAGTCCAACAACGTGTGTTGTTAGAGTGGAAGGTGGATATGACACCCATGACCAAGGTATGCTCTCTCAAACATGCATTTTGATGTTCACATGTCTCTTCAGCCAGCATATAATGGTAATTAGTGCTTTTCTTTTTTTTTGACAGCTTGCATATTGCCAACTGTGAAGGCATCCAACTGCTCCTGTAAAGGCAAAAACTTCACTGTGGTACCAGGCAAACCAGTGATTTTAATTACCATCAATGGTAAACAAATATATATTTGGATTTCTATTGAATTGTTGTTATATGTTTACTGTTGTGGGCTGAGGCATTGTGCTTCCAATTGGAGTAAAACCTTCATGTAATATCTGTTAATCTTTGACTATTTGTAGATGGAACTGTTGTAAAGTGTGTCTTAATTATGTTTATTTACTTGTTCCAAGGGCGTTATGACTTGCATCTGCCACTATATGTCTGTCAAACTTGCCAGCAGCAGTGGACCCCTGACTTGAAAGTCCTCCTTAAAAGTGGATACTGGCCAGCTTTGGTCAGTATTTCCACACTTTACACCTTGGACCTCCTGAGCTCCTTTGAAGAGCTCAAGGTCATCTCTCTGGGATTCTCCAGACAGGCCTTTGCAAAGCTGCTGGAGCATCGCACAAAGTGTGGAGGAAGAGTAAGTGTAAATATTCTTTACCATATTATACATTATAACATTTCTGTAAATAGACAAAATCACAGCAATATATGTAATTATCTTCCAGTCTGGACCTGTCAACGGAGATGCACTGCAGCGCAGCTTTCTGGAGTTCTGCTATGCCACGTATGAGGAAGACCAGCTCTGCTGTGGTGCTCCTTTCATCTGCCCTGCCTGCACGCCGGAGATGTTGGCTGTTTCTGCCGATGGAAACAGGAAGCTATATCGCTTTCGGCGAAGTGGAAGGTGCATTGTTGTTATTTAACTTTTTTGATTACTGTTTATATTTCATGGTTATATTTGCTAATCTTTTTTTTCTCAGTTCTGATGGCAGTGCCTTTTTTAATGGGCTCTTTGTAGCAGAAGACAGCGCGGTGGCTGCATTTGTCGACAAAATACAGAGATCACTGAAAAATGCAAGTTTTTATTCGTAATTTTACCTTATAGGTATATCACAAAAATAGCCATGTATATCTGACCCTGACTTTCTTCAAATTCAGCTACTTCTCCTTACCAGCTACTCCAAAATCAGATAATTAGAACAAATGGTGTAGATCGTGATTCCATTGCTTTTAACTGATTTGTCATGATCTAATGTAATGTAGACCCAGGGAAGAGGCACATGTGGGGACTCCCAGTGGACAGCAGCGAGGGAGACGTCAAGGAGGGCTTCTAAGCTGGATGAAGGGATGGAGGTGGCTGTATGTCGCCATGGGTTTCTTTTGAAGGCCTTAAATATGTACAGGGGGGAGATATTTGCCTACCCCCTGTATCTTCAAAAGGAACTCATGCCAGCCAAAGCAAAGTTCTTCGCCATGGATGTGGCTTGCAAGTACTGGCCGTACATGGAGAAAGCTGCAAGTGTCCTTCCTGCTCTCCAGGAGCTGACCACCATGAAGCCATTCCTCAGTGTAATGCATGCTCGAGCCCATGATACCAAATGCGAGGTATGTGAAATGTTGTATCACGTACATTTATATTTTTTATATTTATAATACTGAAGTAGTAAATATCTAAGCTATACTGTTTAGTATAGTAGTATGTAGCCTCTTTGCACAACAATTCCAGCAACCTTTTACCATCTGATTATATGGAGTGGGAAAAACCAGGAGGGAGCAGGGATGACCGCCGGAGAAGAGGTGGAGCAGGTCAACAGCTACCTGTCCCGTTGTGCCCTGACAACAAAATACATGTCCAAAGCAGGTGAGTGGAAGGTCTTGCCCTATTATTGCATACTTTTTTAGATGACACATCATAACCTCATTATTGCTTTCAAAAGCACGACTGGACATGCTCACAGTGCATGCTATGGGATGGAACAGGAAAAAAGGTGACTCCCTCCATCAGGCACTTTCCACAAGATATGTGAAGGTGAGTGTCACAATCTTAAGGAGAACCCAAATGCAGCACTCGAGAAACCAAGGAGAATTGGTAATAAACTTTATTGGAGATTCCACTGGATCTGAGGAATTCCAACCGAGCAGTTTAACGCACCGGAGGACAGCGGGCAGAAGGTGAGTCAGGGACAGGCAGAGAGTCAGGGAGTAAGCGAGGCGGTCAGCGGGGATACAGGCAGGGTCGGATAACAGGCCAGACAGGATAGTCAAGGGACAGGCAGGATCAGGGAACAGGCAGAGCAGGCAGATCGAGGACAGGCAGGGTCGGAACCGGGTAGGCAATCTAGTTTCAAACGCGGGAAAGACAAGCATGAGGCAAAGTACAATCTGGCAAAGAGTGTGTGTAAGGTGCGGGTTTAAATACTGGCAGAAGCTAATGGGTGCAGAAGAGAAAGAGAGTGAGCTAATGAGTGGGTGTGGAAAACAGGTGAGACAGGTGAATGGAAAACTACTGGTGAATGATGGAGCAGACTATGACAGTGAGCCTCCTATTAAAGGTGTTGTTGTGTCCTTTGTCATTTGCACATGGCTTGTTGTTAATCATAGCAAGTTTTAATCTTGATAAATGTCCATCGTCTACTGTTTATCAGACTAGTAAGAGGCTCCTGGAAGAGACTGCAAGTCTTGAGGAACTCAAGACGGAGCTACATTGTGTCTCAGATGACATGGTGTCGACGTGGATTTCCGACGTGAAGGAATGGGCATCTGGTAAGCACAACGAGATAACACCAGCTACATATCATTGTCCATGACTGTTAGAATTGACAGATTTGATCCTAAAGAGCAGCCAATGATATAAGGCTGATTTGTCATGCCACGTAATGGGACCCTCACTGGATTTCAGTAGACGGGGACATAATCTTCAAGCAATAGCAAGCCAACTATGTGTCCATGTTTATCTCTGATATGTTCCAGTTTCCATAGTTGTACCATCAATTTGTGTTAAAAGGTGTTAAATATGTTGCACAACTTTGTTTCTCAAAACCGTTACGTGTTGTGTAACAGTACATTTTACTGCCAATATTATTTCTACAGGAACATCGGGTACTTCTGAAGACATCCTTCAAACAGCACTGCAGCAAAGCATTGAGGGGCTTTACCTAAGTGTGAGGCAGCGGAAGCAATCCCTTTACCGACAGAATGGTATACAATATAATGTTTTAGGTTGCAGATTCAACCTACTGAATTATATATATTTTTTGCACTTGCAAATATAGTTTGTCACATATCCCTATCCCTCTACCTCATGTATTTTTCAGACAGCAGCAAGCTCCGCCATCGACTTCGAAGGAAGCTTGCAGACGACAAAAAGCGCCTTAACCAGGAGATACTGAAGTACAACCAGCTGGTACACGTTGCTGCGGTGGAGCATTCCCTCTCTGGAGGGAGCATCATGTCCGCGCTGTGGCCATGGGAAGTTCATGGCATGGGTCAGTTTTCAGATATTTCATAATAATTAATTTGAAGTTCTGTTATATGAAGGTATACCTTGCTGAGTTATGCACATATCATGTAGAGTGTTAGAACGTTCATTTAGTTTAAGGGTATATCTTAAGTTTTCTTATTGTGTATACATTTGATTATTTTGAAAGTACATGTTTGGAGTTCTAAACGTATTGTTGTGCTATAATGAAAATGTGAGTCATGTGTATATACATAACTGTGATTGGATTTTAGCTAACTTTACAGCCAAGAAAAATATACTGGATCAAGTGATGCTTACACAGAGACTGCAAGAGGAGAAAGGCATCCTATTGTTGGAGATGGCGCAGCATTGCACATGGTTGCAGAACATGGCAGTTGCTCTAAAAAATAAGGTGGCTGAGGAAGGTAAGTTGAAAGCAAAACTTAACCTACCTTGTAAAGTATGAGTTTTAAAGGAAAAAAAGTCAGCCCAAATCATTCTTGGTCACAGAAATTGGATGGAGTATAATGGCCTTTGCCCATTCGACCCGGCCATTTTACATAATGATGTCCCATGACAGTGACAATCATCTTTATATGTACATGGGAGAGAATATACTCCATTGAAGTGCTCTGGTCTCGTGAAGCAATCTTACTTTATAGTATGTCCATATAACAATATTTTGTGTATTTTCAGATGTAGACAAGGGGAATGGAGGACTTGGGTGCACCCTAAGAAGGAAGCATGCTGAGGCGTCGGAGAGGTTGCAGGTGGTACTGCAGCAGTACAAGACTGCTTTAGGTCCTGATGCTTCTTTCCTTCAACATGAAGAGGAAAGTCAAAGTGGCCTAAGCAGTCCAGACACCAGTGAGGATGAAGAAGGAAACATAATTTAGGTAATTTACTTATGAATTAATGTACAGTATCTTTGTTGATTTAGCCTCAACCTAGACATGTTGCTGTTACTTTTGTATTGATTAATGCTTAACATACATTGTGTATTCAAAAACCTCAAATTTGGTTTCTGATCTGCCCCTCTTTTTTGTTTCTCTGTATTTCCCCAGATTGCTGCTGCTCTCAAGCACGAATATCCGCCAAGACTTATGTGCTATCAGAAATGTAAATACTTTACTGACTTTATATTTAGAGATTGTATTCATACTCCTCAATGGAAAATCACACTTGAATATGTTGACCATATGACTTTTCCCTATGCCGCAGCATCAGGCCAAATATTTCACTTGTACACAACTTAAATTGTATTGAACAAAATGCTCAGCGTCCCTGGAATGCATCCTGAGCAATGAACCATTCACTTTTGATCCTTTTTGAAACACTAGAATGTAAATTCCTAAATGCCCAAGTATATCTTGCTGGTTACCATACAACTTGGTGAGCACATTATTGTCCAAGAGCAGGACGTCTTTCCCTTTTTTCCCAGAACGGGATGCCTATGCATCATTATTATTTTCGATCTCTTATAGGATTTACCTGTCATTAACTTTATATGACTGCACCTGTTACACCGCAGGCCAATAACAGCTTTCTTTTGCGTTCCTTGCTTTAATTGCTTTGTCAGTTATATTTCCTTTTTGATCTCCAGCTATTAACCTGATTGATTGAAGTACTTAAATCAACATGTACAATGCACAGTCTTTTAGGATGTATAATTAGGGACATTGAGATAAACATCAAATAGTTTATTTGGTGAATCACCTCATTGTTGTTCTCAAAACCAAATAATACATTGTTATATTTGATTTACACATAGAATGTACATGTTTAATATCCATGGTTAAATCATAAAAAAATGGTTGTGTTGTATGATTTCTTAATACTGTATGTTATAACCGTTTGCATAACTTGATTTTATGTTCTGTTGTCCATGCTTTTCATGTTAGACTAACCCCAACGCTCTAGAATCAAGACATACACCCTTATGGTGGCCTTTTACTTGTATTGTGGTGAAACACATAAGTAAATCATTGCCAGAGAGGACCATTTTATTGTTTTAAAAACAATGTTATTGATGTGGTTGATTGATGAATAAATATTAAGCATACTTCTGTAGTACTTTTTGTTGTTTACATCACACTGCATTATAATGTGTTTGGAAATAAATTCATTTAGAAGTAACAATATGGGTTAGCACTTGAATATTTTTGTAAAGAGATTATCCTCACCCGGAACACTGGTTGTTGGTTTAAGATAAGATAGAACTTTATTGATCCCAATTTGGGAAATCTTTGCGTTGCAGCAGCATTAAAACACATGGCATTATACAATACAAATAAAAAGACAAGAAATAAAGAAGAAAATATACATGTTGAATTTACAAATGAGCAATAACAAGATATAAAGCAAGGTATTATATTTACATAAGTATGTGACAGATGGAATATTAAATATTACCCTGAATATGTCAAATGTACAGTGAAGAGAGAAACTATGGAGCAGAGAGTTCTCTTCCAACCAGAGGTGATTTGTTGTACAGCAACACGTTCTCACTCCCAACCCGTAATTTGTATACCCTTATTGTTTTTACTTCTTTATTGTAATTCAATAATGTAGGACTTTTGTTGCCATCAGTTATGGGGAGAGTAGGGGCTCAGAAAACTGAAATCTGTATTGTTTCATCGTTTTTTCCTTCTAATTTTGTATTATTTTCTAAACCACACACTGTTATTTACTCAACAATAACACATAATTATCCTTGTGTGTATTTATTTGTTTGATTAATAAACACAAGTTGGAGTCCGTCAGGACCGAGGGTCGGAGCAGCTCATTTGCTTTAGAGAATTTGACACCCGGAAGTAAGTATTCTCTCCGCTTCGCTTGACAAACCCATGAACAAACCCCGTGATAGTCCTCAAGCTCTGATTGGATGTTTGAGTGTGCGCCGAGGGTTACGCCGAGCATCGAACAGCACTTTGAAATTGAACCACGGCAGGCTGTCCAAACCTGGAATTGAACGGGTCCACCCCGTCCCCCACCCATCCCCCACCCCGTCCCCAGAACTACACATGCTGGCTATTGTGTGTTTCACAACATGTTCTCTATCTATGGCACGTCTCTGCTTTGAATTGTAGTTTTAAAAGACGTTTTCATATTTCCCATAATAAGAAGTTTCCAGTATTAAACTGTGTACATCCCTGGAGGTTTAGGGGATAGGAAACACTCACATTTAAAACATATAATTAATAAATGGGGTGAAAATTGCTTGTGCAGCATTAATACCCACATGACAGCTAAGGTCAGAAGAGCGTTATTTAACAGCTGGTCTTATGTCTGTGACCCCTCCTGTTGTAAATTGACAAGCCTGAAACATGCACTTGTCACGGTTCAGAGGCACATTTCGTATGGCAGTAGCCATTGATCTTAAGATAAGATATTGATCCCAAGTTGTGTAACAGTTGTAAATATGCAGTGGTGTTTATTTGTAAATCATTTAGTATAATCACACAAATTCTGTGTTTTATATTTAATAATTCTGTGTTCTTTATTTATTGAATGTTCAATACCTGACAAGGCCAGAGATGAACAACTTGGGTTGCAGGTTCCTCAACAGTGCATTACAAGACATCTATCAATATGTGTGTATACCTCTACCATTAAACTGTCGTATTCTGCACATTTCTTATACTATCTACATACATCTTATAAGAGTATAATACATATGTATAATATCAGTTAAAATAAGTGCTTAAACATATAGTTAACATTGCAGGAAAGCAATATATTAGTACTTTGTCAGGCTTAATATTTATACCCCCAAAGCTTTTTTCTTATTCAACATAAGACCTTAACCTAAAGTATTCTTTAATGTTTAAATAAAGCCTTATTAGATTGTCTGTCTGTGTCTCCTATTAATATCTAATAATAAAAATAATACATTTCAATAACGTGCTTTAACCACCAGGTGTCCCTTTCTATCAGCTTTGCACCGTTATGGTGTAAATATACCAATATAGCGATTGGATCAAATATAAAAGTCAGCCGAATTAGTATTGATACTGCAAGGAGACTTATATTGTGAAGAGAAACTAACATGTCCGTGCGGCACAATACCCATAGATCCGTGGGTGAATAATGTCAATCACCACATCCCTTCACATTTTAATTTACATTAAAGTATTTCGTGAGGCATTTTAAAATGTTTTTCAATATAATTAGGGTTGTAGTAAAGTTGTGCGATTGCGTTGCCTGGCAACGCAATCGTACAACGGCACGTCCATTAATTCCACAACCACACACATGGATTAACATCGATTTAATACATTAATGTAGCCTTTGTTTCTGCTAAAAGAGGTGTCAACCAGCTGGGGCAACAAGAAAATCGGCGAAATCGAGTGTGACTATTACAAAATAAATAATTATTATATTAATATTGACAATAACATATATCTGTCTGTCCAGCTGCAGGTGGAGAGGATGGGTGGGGTTACCCATGATGGAACCAGAATAAGGTTTGTTGGTTTACAGGCCTTTCATCGTAGTGGAAAATATTGTCATATGCAATATTTTTGGATAGTTTCACCATTGAAATGCGTTTGATAACACTAGGTGCTCTAGTGCCAAAGTTGTGGCCCTAAAAAACATCAACTATTCATTTGTATGGCATCCAGAGCTTCCACATTTTAGGGAATATGTTTTTTGATTTAAAATATCATCAATGTCATAAGCAATGGTTACATTAAAACCCTCCTATTGTATTCGTTTCCCCCCCCCCCCTTACTTTGGTGTTCGCGGTCAAATTTGACCGGTCCTGTTTTAACTGAGCTATTACATTAACACAAAAACCATTGATCATCACCAAATTTCATTCATTTCATCAACATTGTATGTTGAGTTGGCACCTCAGCTCAAAACATACAAAACACAGAAGAATAGAAAGTTAACCCATTGAAATGATATGAGAGCAGCGCAACAAACTACAATTCCCATTAGATACGCACCCAAAAATCGCTACGGAGTACACAGAGCTGACATATTTGTAGTTCTTCCGGCGTGTGTGCGTGGACTCGTTCGACTTGTCTTGCGTTGACGGCCGTATAGGCTCCATTCCCTTTCAGAAATTCGTCAATCGGGCGCGATCCGAAACCAAACCCTGTGTTTAAAAAAATATACAATACAAATTTGCACTTTTGCCTTCTTAGCAACGGCAGTATCGTTTGTCTAGTACTTCCGGGCGGCGATCTGAGTTCGGGTACCGTATCTGTGACGTGACAAAGGGTCGCCGTGACAACGTGGTGATGAGATGTGGATAACTTTCCAGATAAAGACCATCCTGACACTCGAGTTGTGGTTTTCAATAAGTGAAAAAGAAAATTCAAAGTAATCACTACCATTTTAATATCTCAAGCATTTAAATATGTCCCCAAAAGCTTTCAAATGTAGTAGCAAAACCACAGTGATCCAGATCAGGATCATTTTAATTAGGCCTATAATTAAATGATATAATAATACATTTTATTTTTATAGCGCTTTTCTGAAACCCAAAGACGCTTTATATGCAAGCCTACCTCCAAAGCGTTATACTTCGGAAGTTAAACAAATTAGATAAGGCAGTGGATGGCAAAGTACCAGATTTCACACATGAATATGCTTAATATAGGTTATGGTGTTCCTATCACTGACAATGAAATCATGTAGTATTTCAACTGTAATTTCCTAAAAAGTTAAATGCATTTTGGTGGAGGTTTTCATCTTATTTCTAATAGAAACATATTAAATGTGACTCAAATGGAGCATATAAACAAGAGAATAAACGTGCAAAAACAAAACTGGAGTTCAAATAACAGATTTTATTTTTATGTATTATCCCGGAGAATTCTTCGGCTGCCAGGAATGAGCCCACTCCTTGCCACTGAAAACAGAATGGAATAATGTTAGTTACAGTTCCTGGTTTCGTCTTTCTGAAAAGCATAAACCATGTGTGAAGCAAACATCTTATAACTCAATTTATATAAGTAAATGTTTCATTTTCCATTTATTAACGACCACCACCATTTAGAAAAAGTGAACATAGAAATTAAAACAAATTTTAAAACAAACAATAAAAACAATGAAGTTAAACAATCATTTGTTCCTACACTACTTCAGCTGCAATAACAGCAATAACAGCAGTGAAATATATAAGAGGACTGGTGGTAGATCTGGATGTTTTGCATTTGTTAAATATCATGTGTTTGTTCTCCAACATGGGACTACATCAGATGACATGAAGCCAAGTAACTGGAAGATATATACCATACTGGACAGGGCTCCCACTCCACCAACATTTCTGCTTTTCCCTATCAAGAGAAGAAAACAAATCTCTAATTAATAATAATTATAAAGCACATCATCATCATCATAAAGCACACCCTATGCATTACTTTTATTCCTGTCTAACCTTTCTCATTCTTTCTTTTATTACACTCCTGATGGGGAAAGTTTCTAGGCGAGTGTGGTAGGAGCAATCTGTGAACACCAAAGCAGGTTCCACATACAGTATTAGTCATATTAGAAATAAAATAAATACAACTATGAACACTTAAGTAGCAACCACACTTGCATGATGAAAAGTGACCACACTATTAACATTGGTCAAATATTACTGTATACATCATTGAAATGGAACCAAGCTGCTCTCAGTCCTAACATGGGATGCTTGTTTGAATGGCCATACCACTGCTGAGCCTGAGATGACCAAAGAAAATACAGACAATTAAAGCCCTTTGGATTTTTGGATAATGATTTTTGGATAATGTATCAGTTATAGTTATTAGTCACAATATAGCATTAACTCACTGAAGAAGCATCAATCACTGCGTTAACATGCACTTTGCTAAAGTACATGTCGATAGATTTATTAGAATACCAATCAATTCGACTCATGCAAATGTTTATAATCAGTCAAAATACTTAATACTGTTAACATACCTGACTTTTTCTTTTTGCCTCTAGGACCAAGTACTGTGTCCCTCACGGACCCTGTCCTGACAGCTGTGGGTTGAAGAAGAAATATTACTATATACATACAGTATACCAAGTTAAGCTTAAACTCAAGTTTCAAAATAC